ATAAAACAAAACTAACCATTGAACAAATTAATACTGATTAAAATAAATTCTTTTGGACCTTATTAAAAAAAGCTGATCTGAATTCAGAAAATATAAACTACTTATTTCTTAATAATCAATTAAGAATTAATAAATCCATACCTATCTACTTTTTGTCGCAGTCTAGAAGATGAGTTCTAGTTTCTTAGTTGTTTCAATTATAATTAATTGTTACTTGATAATACGTCGAAAAGCAGAAGATGATATTTCCAAAAAAGTAAAATCAAGTGATAACATGATCACTAATTTCATTTTAAATTCAACTAGGTTGCTAGTAACGTTAAATTTCAAAGCCTTTTTAAAATTAATCAATAAAGATGTATGGATGCCTTTTGAGGAATTGGGGCAAGGTGATGTAAGAAATGAGTTACATCAATACGAAAATGACATATTTATTTATAAGTACTTATATCGTATAAGAAAATTCGAAGCGGTAAAATTATGGAAAATTACCGTAAAGTATTAGGTAGGTACTACTTTTCAACTCGCGTCAATTCAATTCCACTGCTTTTCTTTTGTGTATATGTTACGCTATTTCTTAATCATTCTTTTTTATTGAATACGTATCGTATCTCAATGGAAGTCTCATTTAAATTTGAAGGAAATATTTCATCTCTAAGGGTGGAATATTAACTTTTTACTTCGAATTTCTACAATACATAAATGTGAGGCATTGAAGATTATTATTGAAAGTTAACTTATAATCCCCTGTAGTAACCCTGGCCCAACAAACGGTTATTATGCGTTCTTTTTAGAAAGTTATGAAATTTTCTTTTGTTTATTACTGTATTAGACACAGCTATACGGAAAATGTTGTAGTACTGGATTTATGTTATTGAGCTTGAGGTATTTATTCGATAATGAGATTTGACATATTGATTTCGTCATATATGTAAACCCATGTTCATCATTTAAAGTTATTAGTTGTTCGAATGAGGCTTCTCTGAATAATGTGTACGTAGTATGAAACATATGTAGGTACATACCTGTAATTACTGAAGAAATTAACAAAAAGCAGTATTAAAATTTCTGGATTCGTTGTTAATTAATAAATAGTACCTATACATGTATGTTTGTTTAGTAAAATTGCAAATTGACCCAAAAGTGATAAGATGCAAATTTTAATGGCTTCAAGATGATTTTCCTTATTTAGTAAGGTTTAACTTTTAGTTGTACACTTTTCAAACTGATTCTCTGGTACATACGATCTAAGGAAACCACAGAAAAAATTGGAGTAGGGCAGGAGGTCGTGAATTAAACTGGTAACCTTAAATATAAATAAATAATGGGTTACGGCGCTGGGTGGAATATCTCAATGAAAACCGCATTCAAATTAGTTTATAAGTTTTGACATTTAGTTAGACATACAAAAAAAAGTTTCGTTTTATGGAATTCAACAGAAGTTATTTGTCACTTATCTTCCTCTATTGATGGGGAAAGCCCTATTATCAGTTTTATTCATCATCATCATACGATCGTCAGTCCTAAGACTGGTTGGACACGCATCTTCATTCTATCCTATCCTGAGATAAATTTCGCATTTCCCCAAAACTAGAACTTCCCACATCTTTAACTATTTGCGAACAGTAATCTAATCTAGGTCTACCTCTACCCCTCCTAACTCCTGTTTCTGCCTCTAATAAGTTTCTGACTAGCTCTTCATGCCTAAGACCTTTCCCGCCTATTTCTTATTGATTTCCATAAAGTCCTCTGTTCTCCTATTCTTTCTAATACCTCTCCATTTCTAACCTTTTCTAACCAAGACATCTGCGCCCACAGTCCATATTTCGCACCCCTACAGCACCCCGTCCCAAATAGACACCTTTAACAGTTCACTTTAGTCCCTGAAGAAGATAACCTTGTTACCGAAAAGTGCTTCGAACAACTAAAGTGTCGTGTTTTGGCGGTGGGGTTTGAGCTACTTTGTTTGTTCTACAACAACAGCCAAAGTTTTTGCGATCTTCATTTTTCTGAATTAAACGTTCACGAGCATAGAAGTGACTTTTGTTATTGAAAACGACTCGACCATGCGCTATCCTCTGCTTTGTATCCCTATAACTCCTTCTCTCTTGGCTTGTTTGACTTCCTAAATACCGCAAATCAGCCACTTCTTCTAATTTTTCGTTTGCTATGTTTGTATTCGCCCTTTCCCTACTTCTTCTTCCCTTACATATCATTATTTTTGTTTTACATACCAAATACGAAAAATATTATAAACGGTATAAATATAATTAACTAGGTATTATTTCATTTTACATTCACAGGGTAGCGATTTTTGAAGAGAAAAATTGATTCTTTATAAACGAGAGTCATTTTTATACGGGTTTGGGAAGAAGTAAATCAATTAAATTACGCAATCTAATCTACTTATTTTATCTGGTTGGATAATTCTTTTATATTGAATTGCTAGAAGGATAATGAAATGTACCCAACGTGAGTACTAATAAGTACTTTTCTTATGCTTTTCAGATACTGGAATATTTTTCCGCTACAATTAATTATATTTGAACATTAATTAAAACACTGTTGTTTTTAGAAGCAACAGCTAGGCCAAGGCGATTCAATTTAATATCTTACTAAGTACGTGAACAAAATATTAATTTCAATTTCATCTCTTTAGTATTTTATTGCTTTTCTGATACATATACGCATACATAGAACGTATGAAAGTAATACGTCAATTGCATGCAACATTGTAAGATTGAAATTCTTCACGGAAAGGTAACGAGTAGGAAAAATAAGACTTCGGGTAACCTAATTTGAATTTAAACGGAAAACCATGTCACCGAAAGTTCCGTGACTGAATTACTTAACCGGAACCGTTCCTGCTTCCAGAAATCAATACCACCCTCGAGAAAATCCCTTCAATAACAGATGGCACAACTACAGAGAAGGAAACCATATGTTAACTATCTTTACAAAGTTCTAGTATTTTTGTACTAAAATGCTCGTATGGCGATCATTTATTAATGGGTAACGTATTAATTATCAATTTCCCGAAAATTTTCGCATTAGAAAGTATCATATTTCACATAGAAAATGTTATTAAACGTTAGGGTAATCACGCGTAACAGTAGCTTTAAAAATAAATTATAGTCGAAGAACCAACATGCAGGTATACATGCCTAGCCTAGACTCTGAGCCATCTAAAGTGGCCGCGAATGTAATAAAACTTCCAAAAGATCTATAAGCTTATTTTGTCGAATGGCTAACACCCATAGAAACAAGGAGGACGACCCGAATTTTATTTAGTGACAATGTTAAGTCGACTTTATATATTTAAACAAGTCGTTGCTTTCCTAAATTCCATAGAATGTTCAATTTTCTTTAAAGTTAGATGCTGACAACATGGTCAAATTCTGCTTGTCTGTATCTCATTCTATTACACATTAATTGGTGTAATGTTATTCCTTTTTCTTTATTAGTGTCCGCTGCAATTGCTACCTGACATCTCTTTTCTATGTTTACAATATTCTCTACAACCGCTCTAGTCTTGTTAGCATCTCTTTCTGTAACATATTAATTGGTGTAATGTTATTCCTTTTTCTTTATTAGTGTCCGCTGCAATTCGTACCTGACATCTCTTTTCTATGTTTACAATATTCTCTACGACCGCTCTAGTTTTGTTAGCATCTCTTTCTGTTACACATTAATTGGTGTAATGTTATTCCTTTTTCTTTATTAGTGTCCGCTGCAATTAAGTTATGAAATTTTCTTTTGTTTATTACTGTATTAGACACAGCTATACGGAAAATGTTGTAGTACTGGATTTATGTTATTGAGCTTGAGGTATTTATTCGATAATGAGATTTGACATATTGATTTCGTCATATATGTAAACCCATGTTCATCATTTAAAGTTATTAGTTGTTCGAATGAGGCTTCTCTGAATAATGTGTACGTAGTATGAAACATATGTAGGTACATACCTGTAATTACTGAAGAAATTAACAAAAAGCAGTATTAAAATTTCTGGATTCGTTGTTAATTAATAAATAGTACCTATACATGTATGTTTGTTTAGTAAAATTGCAAATTGACCCAAAAGTGATAAGATGCAAATTTTAATGGCTTCAAGATGATTTTCCTTATTTAGTAAGGTTTAACTTTTAGTTGTACNTGGCTCTAAAGGAGATATGTAAGGTTTGTAAAATAATTTTGTGGAACTGACATAGCTGATGTTGCCTATCAATTTACAAAAAACTAGCTTCCCTTATATAAACGTATTTTAAATTGTCTTTAATTAATAATTTTATCAACACTATCGCAGGGTAAAAGCTAAGCAATCTCAGGATTCACTTGCAAAACTTTATTTAATTTGCTACTCCAAAGGTGTACGTATGTTCAAAATAAATGTTAATTGTGCTTTATTTGTATGACTTTAGAAGTAATTAGATTAAGATAATAATAATTGGAGAACTTAGTTTACATTGCGTTCAACTTAATCGCATCCATTTGGATCATGTGGTAATAAAATAGAGAAAATTAAAACGCTGTTACTAAAGATAAGTAGCAATTATCGATATATAATAACGTTTAAAATATCCATAGTTCTACAGCAAGTGACTTTATGGAGAATTGCTATTGTCTTAATAGACTAATTATAGAATTTAAATGTGTCTTGGGTCTACTTTTAATGTCCAAGGTGTTGTCTTTTATTTGGAACATTTAACTGGAAATAACCAATCTTTTGACGTCGTCACAGGGTCGCAAATAGGCTCTGGTAGTGGCTAAACATCCGCCAACGGAATTATTAAGTTAAATTAGGTTACAATACCAAGGAGTTCTGATTCACATTCGTGAAAATTCCCTAATCTGTGTATTTAAAGGTTTAGGTTACGTTAGGCAAAGGAAATCGCTATGGTTAATGTGTAACGCTGCGCACCATCGACAACGAATTTGGACGGGTTCAACTGGTACACTTATAAATAATTAAAAACGATACTTATTGTTGTACTTACTTTTTGTTTGACTGAATCAGTGGGATTACTAAGGCTTGGACTTTTTCTATCGTGAGAATGAGGCGTTTTGTACCTCTGAAGGTCACTTTCAGAAGACACATTTGGGAACTGCTTGTGTAGCTGGGGCTTATTGGCTAAAACAATGGAAAACATTTAGTAACCAGCAGCAGTAATCACATATCTGGTTCCAAACCATAAAAAAAAATGTAAAAATGCAGATGGAACAGAAAAAGTAAAAGATATAAAAGTACATTAAAACTTTCACTGTTTTAATCTATTATTTGTCTATTACAAAGAAAGTTGTGAAACTTATTTAAAAGCATAGTTTATAAAATTAGTTGTGCTGTTTTGAATAACATACAATTACATTGATTGGACATTGTAAATGTACATAAGGACTCTGTATAATGAGAACCTATCATTAGAGAAACATTATGACATTATTTTGTAAGGCATTTAGAAATTTACGGAAGATAAAAATGGCAATACGAAAATGAAAACTACAAAATGGTCAAATACTGACAATAACAGACGAAAGGTCAAAGACATCTCGAGAAAAGAAGAATAAATAAGGTAGAGATGTCGAAGTTGGCAGAAAATGAGTGAAGACAATGCTAATAAATAGGAGAAAAAGTTACGAATGTCAGCACATCATGTATCAAAGTTTAAAAAGATAAAAATGAATGATTTTCGAGGTTCTCTTTCTTTTTTTTTATTACGAGACCTTTTTTGCGTATATCGTTCCCTTCAACATACCCTCTAGTGCAAAGCTAGATGGTAGGATGGAAAACCCTCTTTAACCTCCTTTCGGAAAGCATAGGAATGGGAAGAGACAGATGGAACCTACGAAATTAAGTTAGAAGGTAACTAAAAGATTATCTGTGGAATATGATTGCCTAAGTATTTGCCTAAATGATCAATGGAAACCACTGAAAAACTTGGATGGGTCCCCTGCAGTGGAACCAAACCAGACTATGCCAGAAAATATAGGAATAAATATATAATAAATAAAGTAGAGACTGACGAAGTACGCAGGGGCATCATTATCTATGAATTTATAGTAGTAGTAATGATGGAATTTACAGCTCATTTCAAACGGTTAGAGATATGCCCTTCCCCTTTCCTTTTACCTGGACGCGTAGTGACAAAATTCGAAATTCAATTATACTTTTTTTTCTTTGTCTTGCTCATGCCTAGTGTGTATTCTTTTTAAACGAGTTGTAACAGTATTTAGCTATGGATTTCCATACCTCAGTAATCATATATTTATGTCTATGTCAATATAAGCCAAAGCTCTCAATCATCCGATAAACGCTATCGCCTATGCTGCACAATTAATGTTGAGTTGAAGCTCTAAACAATCCTATAATCTAAATACTATTTGAAGCACATTGAAATTCCTAATGGTTAATATTAAATATTAATTTGAAAATTCATTCATCATTTTTTTTTCCAGTATGTTACCTCAAATTAATAAGAAAAATTTTTGTTGCTGTTACCATTTTTCTCATTAATTTGAAGTAACTTACAGTGGAAAAGAAAAATTGAGAATTAATTTTTAAATTAATCTGCAATCTAAAATTAATTTGAAGTGTAATACTCAAAATGCTTGTTCTGTCATGTGCTCTTTTTTCCTCTTTCGACATTGTAATTTCGTTATAAATATGAAAATGTATAATTATTTTCTACTATTATGTGTGTATATTTATTTAACGAGGTGCCCTTTGTTTACCAGGATTAAATCCTTTTTGAAATTTTAATCGTCAACTGGATTAAAACATGAACTGCTATTCAAAGGGTTTACATCCAATATAATGTGCTGTAGATTTTAATTACGAAAATTAAAACATTGTTATTGAAATGAAGTAAATTGAAAACACTTATTAATAAATTGGACAAACAAAATCTTAATAAAACAATATTAAACCACACCACCTTTAAATAAGAGTACAAAGAATAACAGGTTATTGGTTTCCAATCATATCTCATGTCGAATGATACCAAATCGATCGAAAGACAGTGCTCTCTTTGATGTGTAATTGATAGTAATTATTAGCTTAAAGTAAACAATAGAACGTCAACTTGCAAAAGCTGGTATAACTGCCATTATATTCCTCATATCAATGTGTACCGGTGCCAATTGGTGAATTTATGACATACTTCTGTCCCTTTTGTTAAATGTTTTATTGATATGATGGCTTACAGTTAGCTGACTGTTTTTGAGTTTCTGAACATAAACCGTTGTGTTGGTGGTCCACTTCTTCGGTTCAATTAACCAACCTTTTCAAGTCACTGGATAAGACTTTACGTAAGTGAGGAGATTTCAGATTTCAATCTTCGGGCCTGTTCTTTAGTGTCCCATTTATTCTATGTACGATCTCCTCGCTTTTTAGCGCGAGTGTAAACCCATTACTTCAGAGGTGAACCACCTATTCGGATGGTTCTCCCCCCCCCAACACTCCCTCTCCCCCCACGCTTAACCATTTTCCCTCCTCAAACCTCTCCCCAATCTTAACCTTCCATTCTCTTCCAGTGGACGAGTAACCTTCAGAGTTTATCTTCCCACTCGAGGAGAGATTTTGTCGAAAAAAATCCGACACTACCTCTTTTCAGGGCAAGAATATTTCCCCTCGTCGAGAATAATCTAAACAAAAAAATCTATGTATGATCCCCTTAATTGAACTGCAGGTTTAGTGGACTACCTTGGATACAGTTCAAGTGGTGCCGAAGATAAGCAACGATCGTTCTGGCCACTTCTTGGATGGGTGGCCAACTCTAGTTGGTGTTATACGTAATACTACGGGGTTCGACAGTACTTCGGAAAGCAAGTTAAACCCGCGGTAGTCCCAAATGCCTCATAGCAATTTACACACCCCATACAAATTGGAGGGAAGCAACGATAACTTTGAAGGCAACAGGAAACCAAGTAAAAGCCTAACTTCCCTGGTATACGGATGGATAAATAGATGGTGGTAGAGTTTACGATAGTTACACCATATAAAAATGTTACTCTACATCTCTTCGCTACGTTGGAAATTAGGATGTGCCACATTAAGAAGAACGTCAGCCTCTGTATTGATCAAAAAGCTAAGACTTTTAGTGCCGCCTCACGTGAGGCTAATGGCGCTCGTTTAATGCTCGTTGGTATATAAGCATTTTCATAATGGCGCATTTGGTTGACCGATCAACGGAATAATAATAACCTCACTCTATTTCTTCTTCTGTTTTCACGGTTGGGAAATTCTCCTTACACCTCTTCAATCGTATGCTTGGTGAACTCAGTGTCAGTACAATAATGGAAGTTGCCATTATAAATAAAGGTTATAAATGTTGAATCTTTTTAAAACAGAAGTGTTACATAGTAAGACATTAACTAATGTTCTATATCGTAACCGGTAAAATTCAAACTACTTGGTTTTTCTTTCAGGGTGACAACCAAAAGCTATAAAACAAAAATTTAGTTATACAGTCGAAAACTTAGTAATATAGCTTTTGATCGTCACCCTGCAAAAGATACAATTATTAAGGCATTAATACATGCTATTAACCAATTAGTTTTAGTAAAATTAACACATAATTATATATATTGATACACCACTAGCTACTTTTCCTCTACGTCTTCTCGTATAATGTCTTTTAAAGCTCATAAATTTTCTAAAGGTTAATGATACCACAATAAGGACGGATGACAGAAAGGAAATGGGGGAAATGGTACCTCATAGCACCAAAGTCCTTTAACCGCAGCGATATATGTCACTGCTGTAATTTTAAATGAAATTTATAGCACAGTAGGATCGTGATAAGTTTTTATTTTTAGAACAGATAATTATGAACTTAGCATACCATATTTAAAAAGGACAAAAGAAATTTCTATAATATATTGAGTACTCAGTCTTCTTTATTAAATAATTGTTGATTGTATACGATTGCTGAAACCTGCAGAAAACTGACTAATGTTTATCGAAAATGTTGATCTGGTTCGTTTACAAGTGGGCGATGAAGTGTTTAAAGAGGAAGGAATCAATAAATCAATTAAAAGTTTAAGCTGTGATCTCTTGGAAGCATTTTTGAGGAATGATGATACAGTAAACAGCAAAATGCTGGAAAAGTTTAAAAGTTATTCAAAAGAGTTATGGATTGAAATATGCACACATTAAAATGTATTGGTACCTTGTTGGTACGATATCAACGAAACCAGCCTTTAATTTGTTGTAAGTAAGGGAACATGAATAGTGTTAATATGTAGGGATTCCCCAAATATCAGTAGGAACGTTTAGATTCAGGCTTCAGATCAGTTCAGTTGACCAAAACTATCTATGTATTAAAAACGATAGTTGTCAGTTGCTTATTGTTATCAATGTATCAATAACTTCGATAATTATCAAATATGTATATCGATAACTGTCGATATTTTTCCCAGAGCTAGTCTAGAGGTTTAGACAATAATTTGACATTCAGGAGGACACCGGTCCAATTCCTGGTCCATAAGTCCTGGTTAAAATACTTCTGGAGTTTCCTTGGCAAATGCTAAACAGTATTAAATATTCCACTGATAAAATCAAATCATTCACTTCTCTTCTGTCTTCATTTCGTCCGTCTCATCTTCTTCACTCCAATCATATCTCACCCATGATTCCTAAAAGGAAGTTGAAGAGCGCCTTGCGCCCTATCCTCCTGTGTAGTCCGGAGAGACTATCCACCCATCAGCATTAGTAACCTTTTGGAATGAAACATCCAAAACCGGAGCACAAAGATTCTGTACAGTAAGTTCACTTCTTTGGTCTGTCTAAAATACCTACTTTTTTGCAGACCATCATATATTAACTTTATGTGCTCTGAACTGTCATATACAAGGACGGTTCAATAACTTTACCGAAGTATTTAGGTATAATATGTATTTGTACTGTGGTTTCACGATGACATTCTGTACAAATCATCTCCAGCGAAGTGGGGAACTTGTTGATGTAATGATAAAATGTTGGCAGGAGAGGGAAGTATGGGCGTGACTGGAAACTGAATCTACTGTATACAGTATCTTTATACCAGATCCGGCCAAACCTTGACTTCTTAGGAGCGACTACCTGAGGAGACCCTTTTTCCGAATTTTCAGGTACACTGTAACAGAGACAGATATAGAAACGAGCGATATTTGTCCTTTCTTCCGTAACCAAGCCCGCCCTCTCAGTAACCAACCCTTCTGGTTTGGTTATGAGGAAAGAGAGACAGGTATCGTTCTACACTATACCTATCTCTTTTGGATTACGAGGAAAACGGATTAGGAATGGAGTTTGGTTAGCTCTGCTTTATATTATGCCAAAAGATTAGATTCGGTTTTTGGTTATTGACTAAGGAGCTTGGTCTAACAGTGGTCTATGGTATTTGACGTGTAACTGATAACTAATTGGATACCAACAATAATATAACAGCAGTGACCTTCTGGCTTATATAGTTGACTCATTTACTTTGAGCTTTTTGGCAAAACTGCTGCGTCGGAGAATTTACTTCTTTGGTCCAATTGTCCAACTTCTTCAAGACGTTTAACTACAGTGTTACATTATCAAACAGAGCATTGCCTTAACTGATATCATTTGATGTCAAAAAATTTGAATAAAAACTTAATGAAATATTTCACTTTGAAATAAGTAGACTACTTAATATCACCAAGATTAAATCATTGCAAACATGTTTTGGCCTTCTCGAATCTAGGAAGGTTAGTATTTGGGCAATCGATACTTTACAGCAAATGTAACTGATATCTTTTTTCAATTAAACAGAAAGTGTTTGCTTAGGAAGGATGTTAAAAGAATAGAAATAGATATAGCTTCAAAAAGATTTGTGTTTTGAACTTGACATTCCATTTCATCCAATTCTGATGCTAATTTAGGTTAAACAGTTTGTGTGAATCATTGAATCTCTAAATCTCCTAACCATCAGCCTCTTTCTTCTAAGACATGTCGGTAAGATGTCGGTAAGAGAATTTTCGACTATATCAGGATAAGACTGGCTTTGAAAGGAATGATTTTGCCAACTCCATTTAGAAGTTAAACAAAGTTCTAAGGATACGTTTAATGTAGGCATAATTAATGAAGAAGTAGTGGTGTTGTTTATGTTGGAAAGGTTTCGTGTTCAATTTGATTGGTAGTGTATATTTAGTGACCCCAAATTGATACTTACAAGAATTAAGAGTAGGAAATCCACTTCTGAAACATTGACGTCTCGCTATAGCATCTAAACTAGTTGCGTGAGTAACCCTATTTGGAGTTAATTGCCTGAAACATAATGAAAATGGGGAATTATTATTATTGCATTACCAGTTTCATTTTTTTCTACTACCAACATATTATTTTCCTAAAAAATCTCTCGTTATACTATCGGGTTGTTCGGAAAGTCATTTCGTTTTTTCCCGACAGAGGATTTAATTGTATTCTTTTGCACCCAACTTCACATTTAAGCCGTATAATTTTTATATGCTTTGAGAGCTCATATAGCAAGGCTTGTGTGTGGAAAAATTCCAATTAATTCTACGCAGTAGTTTTTGGTTGGTGCCCTTTTAAATATGGAGAGCGATAAGCAGCATTTTCGACATATCTTACTGTTTTACTACAGAAAGGGTAAAAATGCTGTTCAAGCCAGAAAGAAATTGACTGATGTGTATGGAGAAGGTGTGTTGACAGTACGTCAGTGCCAGAACTGGTTCGCTAAATTTCGATCCGGTAATTTTGATGTCGAAGATGCACCACGTTCGGGAAGGCCGGTTGAAGCTGATAAAGACGCGATAAAGGCATTAGTTGATGTGAACCGGCGAATAACAACACGTGAGATCGGATTGAGGTTAAATTTATCAAATTCAACAGTTTATGACCACTTGAAAGGCCTGGGATTATCCTCGAAGCTCGATGTATGGGTTCCCCATGTTCTCACAGAGAGAAATCTGTGTCGCCGCATTGACGTCTGCGATTCGCTTCTCAAACTTCACGAAAATGATCCGTTTTTGAAGCGCATCATCACTGGGGACGAAAAATGGGTTGTATACAACAACGTCAAACGCAAGAGGTCATGGAGCAAAAAAGATGAACCGGCTCAAACCATTTCCAAAGCCGATATTCACCAAAAAAAAGGTGATGCTGTCTGTTTGGTGGGATTTTAAAGGAATCGTTTTTTTTTGAGCTTTTACCGGATAACACAACGATTAATTCGGAAGTCTACTGTCATCAGCTTGACAAACTGAATGATGCACTTCAACAGAAAAGGTCAGAACTAATCAACAGGAAAGGTGTAGTGTTTCACCAAGACAACGCGAGACCTCACACAAGTTTGGTCACTCGCCAAAAGCTTTTACAGCTTGAATGGGATACAATGCCACACCCACCATATTCTCCAGACCTGGCACCATCGGATTATTATTTGTTCCGGTCATTCCAAAATTTTTTAGACGGTAAAATCTTCACCTCAAATGAGGAGGTCAAAAACCTCCTCGATCAGTTTTTTGCCAGCAAAGACCAAAAATTTTATGAGCGTGGAATTATGCTACTACCAGAAAGATGGCAAAAGGTGTTGGACCAGAACGGTCAATATATAATTTAATAAAGTATTTGTTTATTATACGAAAACTGTCTTTCATTTCCACAGAAGAAAAACGAAGTGACTTTCCGAACAACCCTATATATTATTTTATTTGAAATACAAAGCCCACCCAGTAACATTTCTGTTTGTTGTTCAAATATCGTATGAAAATAATCCTAAATAAAATAATTTTTTTTATCTGTTTCATGTATCCTTTCGAATGCAACTTTAAGGATATTTATCAATTAATAATTGTATTAAAGGATCATTATATATCCAAACAAGAAGAAAAGTATATCCATTAAAAATACGCAATAACTTAGATCATTTTCGAAACAAAAAACATCTCTTTGTAAAATTTCACAAAAAGATTACGAATTGATAATGTCTTCTTATATCAGACACCATTGTCAAAACTTTAACGATTACTTATAGATGATTGATTAGCTTGGACCAACGAAGTCAGAGCTACACTCTGTCCCCTTTTTCTGGCCTGCTTTTTTGAGTAATTGCAGCTATTGATTTCCATATCCTTGTTAGGGGTTATTCACCCTTGGTTTCCTCAGGAATTTACGATTCATGGTGACCATTTTAAATTTGTTTCAAAAGCTTTTTGTAAGATATTGATGAGGATATAAAGAATTTACTAACTGATTGTACTTATTTTATTTTTTAACTGTACCTATGTATACTGGATGAGATCTTAACAATGATAGAAAATAGCCGAAATTCTCTCCGTAAATTAGAAAATTAATACGAATAAAATTAATTGGTTGTTTTTCAGCTCTGAATGAAGGTAATTGACGCAATACTGAACTGCATCATCATGAAAACAAATTGTTTTGAAAACATCATTAACAAAATTACAATTGCGACACCTTGCCTCAAAAGAGAAATAAATTCAGAAATGATAGATACCTATTATTATTGTTTGGTTTCGTCCTTTCGACGCTTTCCCCTCTTTCGAAGGACGCCTGATGGCTGGTAGGTGCACTCCTGGATATCGTGAGCGCCGAATATTCCTTTTGGGCAGGAACGGGAATGGTAGTGTGGGTTGTGCCAGTGGGAACTTCCGTCTTTGATACCCACGTCTGTTCTAGAATGGGGGTAGGCGAGTTCGACGTCAGAGGGCTGAAAAACGATAAGAAGGTTAACGACCACTCCTCGTGAGAGTCGCTTTCTAGCAATAAATCAAAATTATTTATTTATTAGTACCCGTAGAATGTAATTAAGAAATATACCTATTTGTGGTTATTTATTTTCATCAAACACGCCAGAAAAAACAAAATTGCTGAAGAAAGGACTTTAACTGATGACATATTTTACTTAATGGTTAAACCATCAATTTTATCTAACTGAAAGACACTCCGAATAGTTAGTTAATAATATAATCTTTTGCCCCTAAATATTTATCCCGGAAGTTGCCCTGTCTTTAGTGATGTTTATCGCATCTTCGATATTATTCATAGATTGTACACATATATATCACTCTTCTATCCCAGTATCTCATCCCTACATTTTTAAGTAAATTTAACATCTTATCCCATTGTCAAAATCTAATTCTAAATGAAGAAATGAAAGTATATTATAAATTAAATGTGCATATTGTCATCAAACAGCTCAAACTGACAATCCATGTCTCAGTGTCAACAGAATCAAACAGACAATTTTTTGTTCTAAACGAACCCTTATAATGTTTATAAGGATATTTAATTTTGTTTTGTGAAGGACCATATCAGCAGATTTATGAACATTTGAAGATCTGTAAACTCATAATGCTTAAACGTGGATATATAACTACGAGTCAATCCCGAAGCCCCAAAGATAACAGCAAAATTTGTAATTACGATAGACTGGGCCAGATTGGCCCATGTGATCGGGTGGCGATCCCCACCGGTGTACGTAATTAAGGTCGAATGTGAAGAAATTAAAAACGATTAACTCCTTTGGAGTTGGTATAGCAAAATTCTAGCATCAAACAAAACTACAAACTATCAGATAATTAGCCGTAAGTTAAACTTAAAAGCCAAAAATTACCCGCGACCCGAGAAACCCGAAAACTAATTTGCATCCCAACTTGGAATGAAGTTAGTATGCAAAAATTGTAAAATTGGTTAGGAAAATCTTAGAGAGCTAGAACCGGCCTAATAATTAGCCGTTAATTAACCGCTGACGATGTAGGCTACTAACCAGAGTGTTAGATTTATTTTACTGCAGTCAGTTTTCGGTCTTCACGGTCTGACAACCTCTATATATCGAGCAAAAGTCAAAAATTTTTCGCGACCCAATAAACTGAATATTTTGCGGAGTATTCATGGTAAATTACAATTCCAATAATTGGAGTTAAGAGGGGTAGAGGTAGACCTAGACTAGATTACTGTTCGCAAGTAGTTAAGGATGTGGGTTGTTCTAGTTTTAGGGAAATGCGAAGATTAGCTCAGGATAGGAAAGAGTGGAAGTGCGTGTCTAACCAGTCTTAGGACTGACGGCCTGATGATGAACTTCATTAGACTAAACAATTTTTCGGGTTGTCCAGGACGCGGTCAATATTTAGCTTTCACGACTATTTTACAACCAATTTGCGGCAAATTAGACTATGGTTTACATTTTAGCCTGCCAATTTTGCCTTGGCAACTTCAAAGGGGTAAAAGCTAACCTGCCCATATCACTTCATCCAAGTATTCAAGTTTGATGCGAGAGCATCTTAGTCATCAATATTTGTTAGAAGATTTTCTTTATTATATGTTGTAAAAGATTTCACTTGTGATTATGAGAAAGTAATTAATAGTAGATATCGTTAATAGATCTTATCAGGAATTGTCAAATCTACTGAAATTGTAATTTGCTGCCCTATTACGTATTTAAAATTGTTTCCTGTATAAGAAGTTTTGGGTTATGCTGTTTAAAACGTTTGGGTTATGGGGTTACACTGTTCAAAACATTTGGGCTATGAGGCTATGGGGTTTTAAATATGGGAGTTGTAGTATTTTAGACGCTTGGGTTATAAGGTTTTTTGGTTATTGTAGATGTTTTTTATTTTTGTACGGATTTTGAATACCTAATATAACTACCCTTGTATTTTTTGTTTTATTTGCAGAATTATAACAAGTCTAATTTTGTTCAATTCCTAAATTATAAAAATTTATTATTTATAATTTTTTATCTTAATTAGATTTCTATTTATTCCACAATTCAAATTTTTAATGGAATTACTTAGGTTCCCTAATCATTTATTCGCATATTTAAACACCAACAGCTACGATTGAAATAAGTATATTTGAATAAATTTTAAACTACTAAAAACAGTTAAATTTTCCGAGGATTTGGCAACATGTAACCGCCATCACAATACGTGAGGGTAACGACTAGTTTTTTGCACTTGAATTTTTTTACCTAATATAGGCGGTTAAAGGTGTGGACTTCGCAGTATGAGTTGGTCGTTCGGGGAAGGTGGTAGGTACGTTTCCAGAAATTTAGAATTAATTGTTAATTATCAATTTCTTTTATTAATTTTAGCATAAGGACGTTTTTGACCATCCAATAGCGAGCGAATTATAATGGTAAGCAAATATTTAACTAATTGTAATAATTATAACAAAAATAATAAATAAATAGTTATTTTGGCACATATAAATTATCAATTTTTTTCAAATTTATGTATAAAATAACTTCATAAATCATTTATAAAAAAACAGTAATTACGAAATTATACTCTTTTCTATAAAGAAATCATTAATAATTATATAAATGACCGTTAAACTGCCAATCTGTTCTATTTGAATTCAAATTGCATTTCCTATGGTTTGTTCATGCAAAACATATGTCTTATTTCACATTGATAACAGTCTTGTTCCTTTATATTAAATACTATTTTAAAGTAATTCATTTTTGGGCTTGTTAAAGTAAAGGAAATTTTCAAAAAAATTTAAACATCACTATACGACGTTGCCAATGGCAGATTGAAAGATAATAAGCTACATTAGTTTTATACCAGATTCTATCGTATTTGTTTATAAAATTAACTGCAATGTAACATAATTAATTGGTTTAATGGTTTCGTATTATCGTTAATATTGTGTAATATTGAGAAGACAACACATTTTTTATACATACACCTTAGTTGTTTTTAAAAAACAAATTTAACATGGTGCTTGCAGATCTTATCCTTTGTGCCATTATTTTTTAAACTATATTTTAGTGTATTAAATTTATTTTTAGTAGGTTAGAGTCTTTATCCTTAGTTTTTACAGTACCTATTGTTTTTCAAAAAAATTTACTTGTTTGGTATACAATAGGAATAACAATTATTCCTTTGTATTAAATAAATAATCCGATTTCGCAAATAGTACACTTTTCTCGTATATTAGGCAACGCTGCTACATTACACGGATCTTTATGTAGTGTGCTTTCATTTCAAAGTAAACGAAAAACTACATTGAACATGCTACATATTGATTGCTTATGAAATTATTAGAAAAATATTGTAACGCCCTTTCTAACAGTCTGTTGATGTATTGGAAGAAAGTTTGCAAAGTTGACTTGAGGTCTGTTTTTTTGGAGTTTCGTTATTTACAATCAATTAAGTATCTATTAATTGGAAATCAATAGAGACAATATTTGATTTCATTTGATGTCTGATAAGTTTAAAATCCAATGAGTGATTCAGCTATAAAATCGTTCATTTATTGTCTTTGTCGCCCTTTGTACTTTCTATACTGAACAACATTTGTTCCCGCTTATTAGCAGGAAGAATCTTACTAAATCCTTTTTATTGTATATACAGCTTGTAAATAATTTTTAATTGTTTGATAGGTTACTGCAAATATAATAGCTGTTATTCGCTGATTTTTGAACTACTTATCTAAACCATATTCTATAAATATTCCGATTTCATTGCTTGTCTTGTGCGTAGTCGGCAACACTGTTTCCCATAGTTTGATTTTAGTCTAGCGCGCGGATTTTTATGCAGTGTGTTCTTACTCCAAAATATGTTACCAATAAGAAAAGAATTTAACGACTTTAGTGGTTAGAACAAGTAAAAGTAATTGATATTATCGGTCGTACTTTACACACACACAATACATGTCGAAACATGGCAGAATTATGGACTAACATGACCAATACTACTCATTTCGGGGTTTTTGTGAAAGATCGCAATAACCGTAATAGATTAAAGTCGAGGGAGGATTACCGTTAGTACAACATGATGCCTCAAAGCCATAGACCTATTATAAAATTTTAATCAATAAAAAATTTCACATTTCGAATAGAAAAGCTTACCATTGTTCCAATGTGTCAGCTTCTTCTTCTGCAGCCGTCACGTCGCTAGGAGGTGTTAGATATCCAGCTAATCTCAGTCCTCGGCCTCTTATATTTGAACCAAATCTTAAACTCTGTCGGAATGATGCTCTCGCCCTGTCAACTACATAAATAATTTTACAGTAACACACGTTTGCAATTATAACTGTGAATACGTTACATAAAAAGTTATAAAATTCATCAATTTGTAAGGAATTATTTCCAGGTAGGTAGAAAAAACTTATTCTATACGTTAGACGCGGTCAAAATGTGGTGTTAGCGGTGAATGAAGAGGATACCGCGGATAGAGAAGGTTAGAAATGAAAAGGTTTTAGAAAAAATAGGAGAACAGAGGACTCTATGCTAGTCGATGAGACCTTTTCAGGTATGAAGGGCTAGTCAGAGACATATTAGAGGCAGAAACAGGAGTTAAGAAGAGTAGAGGCAGGCCTAGATTAGATTACTGTTCGCAAATAGTTAAAGATGTGGTATGTTCTAGTTTTGAGGAAAGATTGAATATAAAGATAGGAGATGAAAAATTAGAAAAAGTGGCTGATTTTGGGAAACTGGGAAGTCAGATAAGTTAGGACGGAAAGAGTAGTAGGGATATAAAGCAGAGGATAGCGCAAGGTCGAGTCGCCTTCAATAAAAATAAGTTACTTCTATATTCGCGAACGGTTAATTTAGAAATTCGAAAAAGGTTGTGAAACGTGGTTTTAGAGCGCAGCGCTGTATGGGTGCGAAACATGGATAGTGTGCGCAGGGCAAAACAAAAGGTTAGAAGCATTTGAAATGTGGTGTTACATGGGAATGACGAGGATACCGTGGATAGAGAAGGTTAGAAATGAAGGGGTATTAGAAAGAATAGGAAAACAGAGGACTCTATGGAAGTCAATAAAAAATAGGAGAGACAGGTTGGTAGGACTCCTTCTCAGTCATGAAGTTCTAATCAAAAACATATTAGAGGTAGAAGTAGAGGTTAAGAGGAGTAGAGGTAGACCTAAATTAGATTACTGTTTGCAAATAGTTAAAGATGTGGAATGTTCTAGTTTTAGGGAAATGCGAAGATTAGCTCAGGATAAGAAGGTATGGACGTGGGTGTCCAACCAGTCTCAGGACTGACTACATTACGATGATGATACGTTCATAAAATTTTGATATGCCGACAATGAAATGTGCAATTTTTATGTTTTGTGAACATTTTCTTTTGTCTATATAAATTTGCACATTGGTTTGTTTTTCGTTCTATTAATAATTATACTTTCTGGCTACATAAAATCTATTGTTTCCCTGTCTTTGGACAGTATCGACTTTATCGATTACTTATTTACCTTGTATTTTTGGAGTTTTCTGCGTATATTTGAGGTTCATGGACATATTTGTCTTTCAGTGGCCGGATTTTATATTACTACGAAAGTTACATGTTGTTCATCAATTACGAAGAATATAACGTAGTTATTAATTATATTGTGACCTTTTCCTTTGAAAGTTCTTAAAATGTTAAGAATCAAGAGCTATAGTTACATAAAATTTGGTTCTGATTATACCTAAGCTGTTCTATACAATTCGATTAATTTAATGAAAAGGTACATTTCCTTTTAAATTGTTATTTATCATTCTATCATTCTGTGAAACCATCAGTAAAAGTACGTTATAAGTTCTGTCTCGGTATTGATTAAATAATTTCTGCTTTTCAAGACGTTCTTAAATCGTTTTGTAGTTATAGTTCACAAGATCGATAACTTGTTAGCAATTTACTTAGCTAATTAAATTTAACCCTTGTGCAAAAACAGAGAAATGGGTAAGTATCTGGCTTAGAAGTTACTTTTGCTTCAAGTCCGAATTAAACTTTTTGCAATACAACCCTCGAGAAATCTATTAATCTTTAATTGCTTAGATAAGACTGCGACTGACTCTGCTGTTTCTCGGTTTCCTTCGTGTTTTTCACCCAAAACAAACAGATCTCAGTTAATACAATTTCTTGAAGGTATATTTATTTAATTATTAGGGGTTTGTTGTTGAAATACAGTATTAAGTAGGTTTAAAATTTATTAAATGTATTTGTATTAGAGATAAATCCGGTATCCGGTTTGGATCCGGCAATGACTTCTCGTTGAATATCCGCCAACCAAGAATTAAAATTTCATTAGTTTAGTGTTTAAACGACCTTTTGAATGGGTTTGGGACGTTGGTGATAGTGGTAACAAAGACATGAACCATTAATCATATAGTGGTTTTGCCGGTACAGCTAATGCCGGGTTACCGGTTATCCGGTATCCCCAAAGTCACTTTCCGGTGCATCTCGAATTTGTATACATGTATTCTCAAACTAGAACGTATTCAATTTTGAAAAGGTCGGAAGGAATAGCAAGGGATAAAGCAGAGGATAGCGCTGAGTTCAGTCACCTTCAATAAAAAGAAGTCACTTCTATGTGCGAAACATGGACAGTGGCCGCGGCGGAACAGAAAAGGTCGAGGATACCATGGTAGAGAAGGTTAGAAATGAAGAGGTATTAGAAAGAATAGGAGAACAGAGGACTCTATGGAAGTCAATAAGAAATAGGCAAGATAGGTTAGTAGGACACCTTCTCAGGCAGGAAGGTCTAGTCAGAGAGTTAGGAGGGGTAGAGATAGATCTAGGTTAGATTACTGTTCGGAAATAGTTAAGGATGTGGTTTTTTCTAGTATTAGTGGAGGTGCGTGTCCAACCAGTCTTAGGACTGACGACCCTATGATGATCATGAGTTAGAAAATTCGTTATTTGTAATAACTTACATTTGCTGAAACGGCCTTTTGCTGCGGGGCTGTTTTCTAAAGAAGCAGACGGTTTTGCAGTCAAGTCTTCGAAATTTATAATAATTAGGCTTATGTCGTCTATTTCGCTCTTTATTGGTGCAATTACTTCTGAACATAGGAACTTTGAACCTGGAACATAAAAAAAAATATAATCGTAAACATTTCTACACATCGATAACATTTCACAGTCCTTTAAACAAGACTCTATTATCGATCTTGATGACCGAGATCGAGGATTTCTCCTGATGCAGAGTGAGTCTTCAGTTGAAACTGTTTTTACCCAGATTTTGTGGTTAGCATTCTCAGAGGACGTGGTTATAACGTAGAATCCTTCGCCGAGTCTACGCCACGTACCGCTTCTCTGAGGACGTCAACCACAGAAACTGAGAAAGCATCGGATATACGGTTCCATCTTCAAACTCACCCAAAAAGAATCCTTGACCACAGCTACCAAGCATCAATCGAACCGTCTTCAAATAATGTCGGCTGACCAGGAAGTCAAAAGCCTTTCTGATTCAAAGTTTGTCTTCGAATATAGTAATCCATATTTACAATAATATTTTTAAAAAGAGTTGCTGTATTTGCTTACATTTTCAAAAAAAGGTAGTCTTATTCTTTTCAAATTGATGGGGTGCTATCTTCTTTTCTGCACGCGTCTCAAGCAAGATAAATAGATGTTAATCGCATTTTTACAATCTATTTTAAACCTGCAGAAGCATGCATTCGTGAATAATACGACGATGTATCGGATAAGTTCGCGTTTGATGAAGAAAACACTCTTTAGTTCATATTATTCCGCCATCTTTTTTGTATTCGTAGTATATAGGCAGCTGTCAAGACACGCGTGTATGAAGCATAACTTGCACGACATCGAAAATTTAAAAATAAGAAAATAGCGACGCGGGAAAATCAACAGCCGCAAACTTTAAAACCACACAGAGGAAAGCTATGTAATAATAATAATTTTAATTTGTTTAGCGGTGTTGTTTTACTGCAATGCCGTAATTTTTTGGCTTGAATGTGCAATTTATTTTTAATTAAAATAAAACCGACCCTTTTTCGGCCGTCCTCATTAGGAAACTACAATGGCGATTCCACCTATGCCTTTAACACTTTTGGCATGTTTACAAGTTTTGCTCACAGCCTAAATTTATGTGACATACTTTTAACTACCTGCCTGACATGAATGCTTTTAAATATTTGTTAACGTGCCATTATAGAGTTCATTGAGCGCTAAAAACGCCATCATTAATCACTAGCATTGACGAAAAATTAATTGACAAAAAATTGCAACGGAGAGAATACACCACACCAACTTTGCAAAATGTGTAACGTATTTTGCAGTCTTGACACAATCTAACGATTTAGTTAGAATGTGTACACTTGTTTAAAAAATTGTAGGTAGGTACTATGCCAAAAAGCATGCTTTGAATTTATTTTCCATTATAAATCGAAAACAAGGCTATAAAAAATTTAACAAAACTGTTATTAATCTTAAATGTTATAGTAACTTATGTTTCTCACTAGGTTTAAGTATTACGCTTATTTCTTTTTTGATTACATTTTTTATTTATAAGTCGAGAAATGCCGTGTTTATATGAATAACCCATTCTCCACACGCTCTCGTCTTTTTCACAAATCACCTACTTGAAACAAACACATGACCAATCTTTCCTAATGATTGTTTTGTACACACTAAATTGGGGTTTTACAACACTCTTGATTTTCAGTAATTCTTGTCTTAAATCAAGAAGTAGACCTGAGAGTGTTGATGTGATAATGGAGACCAGATGAAAATAATCGGATTGAGAATTTCCAAATTTTGTGAAGAAAACTTAACTATTGATTAAAAATGCATATAGTTGGAACGTTCAAAATCGGCATAGCTCGCAATAAAACTGTCGCATTTACTTTATTCTTTCAACTTACTAACTAGACTAGACTGATTGCTGACAGAACGTCTACTTTTACTTATGTCGTAAACATAGAAAAGAGGTGTTAGATAGGGATTGTTGACGCTAAAAGCAGAATTTGAACATGTTTCCAGCATAGGACTTTAAAGAAAGTTCAATATTCTCAGGAATTCAGGAAAGCAAAGACTCTTGTTTCAAGATGTAATTTTGTAATTCCAACCAGGCAGTTATAGAGACTACCCTCATTATTTGCGTACCTAACCATCCTCTAATCGCTCTACCACTTACTATTATTCGGTTATTTCTTTTCACTTAGTCTGTACTAAAGAAAAGGTTAGAAGCGTTCGAAATGTGGTGTTACAGGCGAATGATGAGGATACTGTGGATAGAGAAGGTTAGAAATGGAGAAATACTAGAAAGAAACGGAGAATTGAGGACTCTGGAAGTCAATAACAAATAGATTATTAGGACACCGTCCCAGGCACTCAGGCATGAAGGTTTAGTCAGATATATTAGAAACAGTTTTAGGGAATTGGGAAAATTAGCTCAGGATAGGAAGGAAATGGAGGTGCGTGTCCAACCAGTCTTGAGACTGAGGACCTTATGATGATTATGAGTCTGTACTACTCATGGAGCAATTCCTAACTTAACAAGGGTGTGTGACTTTTCCAATTTTGATTGTTGCAACTATATATTGATTGTTTTAGTTGAAATTGTCTGAATCCTGAGTTGAAAATGGAAATTGTGGTAATCTGAAAAGAAACTCACCATAGTAACCACAAAACCTGTTTCCTGCGGACACGTGTTTGACCCTCATTAGAAATGGGCGAAACGCGTGTCCTCAGTAAACAAGTTTTGTGGTTACTAGGGTGAATCTCTTGTGGATTTGATAGCTTTGAATTGACTTGACGGAATGTAACTGAAATATTGCAAAGTTAGAAACGCAAATAATTAACAATATTACATGCATTTCTATAGCACAAATTATTAATTGCCATAATATTGTACAAACATCACATGTTGGGATTATCATTTGTCTGTCTTGAACTGGGGTATATAAAATGCAATTTTCATAAGGTATTCATAAAAAATTGAAAGTAACATGTTTTCAATTTTGGGTATTTTATGATACACCTGTACGCTTCTGCTAAGAGAGCTTGGACTATAACGATTCTATCATAAAGTGAATTGTTATTAGGGCTCAACCATTTGACCGCCAGCTTTTGTTTGGGTTTTAAATGAATGAAATTTTACGAGGGTTTAAAAAGAGTTGATATTCACAGAACAAACATCTTGGTATTTTTGCGAACCAAACCAGTTTTGATGTTTATAATCGTGTATGGCTCGCACCCTTTGCGTACGTCTCATAGGTGCTGGAGCCTCTGATAGGATACTGTAGTTTTAGAAGATGTTTTTAAGATTTGTAAATAGGATTTAGGTCAACAATAACCAATTGGTACATTGAGTCTTCTATAGTACAGTCGAAATAAGAAGGCAAAGTCCCCAATAAATAATGCACTTTAAAGGCATATCGTTTTTCTCGTTCTTACAAACGGAAGATATCCTGTCTTTATTCTCTAAACACGCCTCCTCCACAGCTGCGTCGAGGCCTGTACCTACGTTTCATAAGAATCAATCGAATAGAATGAGACGGCTGAAAACATACTTGTCCTCTTGTCCGTACCTACATTAAATGAGCAAATTTACAGGATCGGCTTAAGGTAGTAGTCGTGCTACGGTATGGTGAAAAAGTTATTGTAAGATCTAAGATAATTCAATGCGATAATATTTATATAATTTCGGTTGTACATCAAAACAGATTGAATGAGTCTGTATTCATACGTACCCACACATCTAAAAATATTATTGTTCTTTTAATCGTGCAACACTGTATTTAATATTGATACAAATTCTCATATTTTTAAACTTTCTGTTATTATAACTCAACAACGGAAAGGTCCATATATTTTTTTTTATTATAAGTTCGCAACAAAAACAATTCTGAACTGTTAGTTTTTGAAAAATTCCGACTATTCGTTTTTTATTAGAATTAATAAAATATTACAATTATCTCAAATTAGAGATGTTTTCTCTACTTGTTTCTTTCTTTCTTTGAAAATAATTATTAACATTCCAAACAAGTTTCCTACTCTGAGAATTTAAAATTTCTCGGACAATTTCCTTGAAAGTTAACAATAAAAATAACAATAACAACAACAATAACCAACAAAAACAACGACAACAATAGTTACAACGAAAAAATAACATAAACGATATATGTAGAGAGATGACTATTCGCACAAATACACCAACTAAATTAAGCCGACCCTGTAAATTTGCCCATTTTATGTAGGTACAAATGACAAGACGAGCATGTTGTCGATCGTCTCATTTTATTCGATTGGTTCTTATGAAACGTAGGTGCAGGTCTCGACGCAGCTGTGGAGGAGGCGTGTTTAGAGAATAAAGACAGGATATCTTCCGTTTGTAAGAACGAGAAAAACGATATGCCTTTAGTGTGCATTATTTATTGGGGACTTTGCCTTCTTATTTCGACTGTACTATATTTCCCATATACTGTACATAAGCTTAGCACATCAGACCTTCCATTACCTCCCCAGGAATTTTCGATACATACCAAGATATAAATTGTAGTTCTCATATTATCCAGACAATAAATTCTAGTTTGTTCACATTTAATTACTAAAAATACGTTGTAACCTTTGTCCTAATGGACCCCCCTCTCATTTAAAACCATTTCACGGGACACAGGAGTATTTAAAACAAACAAAGTGTGTGACAACGTATAGATATGTATACAAGTCAATCTTTTGAGAAGTTGATAAAAGCCTCCTTTGTCCAAATGCAATTTTAAAGGGCTGCAGGGTATGTCTCTGGCTGAGGTGCACTCATATTTCCGAGCGAGAATTAATCCGTATGCGTTTTAAAAATGCCAAGAGAACAGCGAGCGCCTTCGTCTAACAATTTCCCACTTGCAGAGCGCGGAGGACCTTTGTGCTTGTTCGGATCGTGGAATGGAAATGAGGGACGAAAATCAAGAACAGCTGTAATTTTTGCTCGATTTTAACGTCAAGAACTTGAAACGCGTCTGATGCTAGACGCGGTTGAAATTAAATAATTAAACGGATCGTGGCAAATGAAAAACGATATTTTTATTGCAGTAGCGAGTACACATAGGTAATATTTATTATGATG